ATTAAAAGAAGAAACTCTAGTTTTAAAACCCAGATACATTTTTTAAAATCTCCATTTCCTTTCCTCCGTTATTTGCATTGTGTTTATGTACACAGGGTCCCAGTTACATCCAACAATAAAAATGTAAAAGAAAAACAATGATAATATCTTAGATGTTATCATTGTTTTTCTTTTACATTTTTATTGTTGGATGTAACTGGGACCCTGTGTACATAATTTCGTTCCACCACATGTGCCACATGTGGTGCGAACGACAATAAAGAGTCTCCTGACTCTGATATATACAAACTGGATTACAAAAACGTTGGGACACTGAACAAATTGTGAATACAAACTGAATGCAATGATGTGGAGGTGCCAACATCTAATATTTTATTCAGAATAGAACACAAATCACAGATCAAAAGTTTAAACAGAGAATGTATCATTTTAAGGGAAAAATCTGTTGTTTCCAAATTTCATGGCATCAACAAATCCCAAAAAAGTTGGGACTATTCCATTTTTACCACTGTGTGGCATCCCCCCTTCTTCTTACAACACTCAACAGACGTCTGGGGACAGAGGAGACCAGTTTCTCCAGTTTAGAAATAGGAATGCTCTCCCATTCATGTCTAATACAGGCCTCTAACTGTTCAGTCGTCTTGGGCCTTCTTTGTCGCACCTTCCTCTTTATGATGCGCCAAATGTTCTCTATAGGTGAAAGATCTGGACTGCAGGCTGGCCATTTCAGTACCCGGATCCTTCTCCTACGTAGCCATGATGTTGTGATTGCTGCAGAATGTGGTCTGGCATTATCGTGTTGAAAAATGCAGGGTCTTCCCTGAAAGAGATGACGTCTAGATGGGAGCATATGTTGTTCTAGAACCTGAACATAGTTCTCTGCATTAATGGGGCCTTTCCAGACATGCAAGCTGCCCATGCCACAAGCGCTCATGCAACCCCATACCATCAGTGATGCAGGCTTCTGAACGGAGCGTTGATAACAACTTGGGCTATCCTTGTCCTCTCTGGTCCGGATGACATGGCGTCCCAGTGTTCCATAAAGAACTTCATATCGTGACTCATCTGACCACATAACAGTCTTCCATTTTGCCACACTCCATTTTAAATGACCCCTGGCCCAGTGCAAACGTCTGAGCTTGTGGAGCTTGCTTAGAAATGGCTTCCTCTTTGCACTGTAGAGTTTCAGCTGGCAACGGCGGATGGCACGGTGGATTGTGTTCACTGACAATGTTCTCTGGAAGTATTCCTGAGCTCATTCTGTTATTTCCTTGACAGTGGCATTTCTGTTTGAGGTGCAGTGATGTTTAAGGGCCCGGAGATCACGAGCATCCATTAGAGTTTTATGGCCTTGACCCTTACGCACAGCGATTGTTCCAGATTCTCTGAATCTTTTGATGATGTTATGCACGGTTGATGATGATAACTTAAAAGTCTTTGCTATTTTATGCTGGGTAACACCATTCTGGTATTGCTGCACTATCTTTCTGCGCAACAATGGTGGAATTGGTGATCCTCTTACCATCTTGGCTTCTGAGAGACACTGACACTCTGAGAAGCTCTTTTTATACCTAATCATGTTGTCAATTGAACTAATTAGTGTTAATTGGTCTTCCAGCTGTTCGTTATATGCTCAATTTCCTTTTTCCAGCCACTTATTGCTACTTGTCCCAACTTTTTTGGGATTTGTTGAAACTGTGAAATTTTGAATCAACATATTTTTCCTTTAAAATGTTACATTTACTCAGATTAAACTTTTGATCTGTCATCTATGTTATATTACAAATAAAATATTGACATTTGCCATCTCCACATCATTGCATTCAGTTTTTATTCACAATTTGTTTAGTGTCCCAACTTTTTTGGAATCCAGTTTGTATTTGAACCCAACCTACTACAAAAATGTTTTGTTCTCACACTATTGAAGATGTTATAGTATTGCAGAGAAACTCTAACATCCTGAAATTTGATAACACTTTGATAACAGTCTATCTGTTTTAAATTGTGCTCTATAAATAAATATGACTTGACTTGACTTGACTTGAAATGGTTCATGATGTAATCTACATTTCTAAACTGACGAGTGTTGTGCAATGTGCTGTTCTTGATATGAGTCTTGGCTAATAAGTTTAACACATTTTGCACATCAAAAAATGTAGCATCAACTTAAAATATGTTGCATAATTGCATGAGGCCACTATAACTAATGATAGAAAAAAAAAAATCATTATTATTGTTGATGTTAAAATCTTGAATCAATGCCATGCAAAGAGGTTGGCTTAGATTAAAAAGGCCATGGACATAAAAAGGTCAACAAAAGCTACAAGAGAAGAAAGCACGATTAGACCTCACTCACCTGCCACTTGTACTGCTGCTGGTACTGCTGACCGAGTCCGAACTGGAGGAGCGGCTCCGGGAGCCTGACCCACTGTGGGACCGTGGAGGACAGGTAGCCTGACTCACCAGCTTCTGAGGAGAGGGATTTCGTGAATGTGTTGAGTGTGGAGACCGACTACGACTGTGGCGATACGGCCTGTCCCCACGCCGTCCCCTGTCCTCTCGGTAAAGGTCCCTATGAACCACACTGGCCAGCGTAAACGGTTCTCTGGTACGAGACTCATAGCGAGGCTCCGGTGTCTCAAAGCGACAAGGGCTCCTGCTGTGGGAGCGGTAGAATCCAACCACACTGGACGTAGATCCCCCACTTCCTCCCGTTGATCCCCCTGCGGATCCTCCAGCTCCGGTGCTTCCAGAAACAGCGCTAACTATAGTTCCACTGACTCCTGAAGGTACGGTTGTACCACTTCCACTGGTGGTACCAGACCCACTTCCAGCGCTGCTTAGAGTCCTCTCTCTTCCATCACGATAATATTCCGTTTCATAATGCCGCTGGCGGTCGAAACTGCTACCAGGACGCTCGTGATGTCCATAGGCACTGTGATCATACGTCCGATCCCGACTTTCAGTACTCCTAACAGACAAGAAGAAGGAGCACGTTACTTTGCAGTTTCACTTCAACCATTAAAGACAAATGCTGAAATCAGACGGTGGACAAACAAATTTAACATGTGTCTCGTGGGTTTGCAATTAGATACAGAAAAAGACGTAGCAAAAAGCTAAAGGTTTAAGAGAGAGTTTTAGCATCTACAGAGAAAACTTTATTGAGCTACCTACAGTTGAAAAAAGGGATACTGTAATACATAAATAGTGAGAATTATGTTGTGTGCTTGCGATTTTGACTTTTAAATTAAATATTTCCTCTACCGTTATGTGAGTCCAAGTCTTTTATGCATTCATATCAACTTTGAGACGACAACGCAAGGTTTAAAACCTAATTATTTAAACTGCTTATCTTTGAGTACAGATGGCTTTCAACAGTCATGGGATTGATGGAAATACTAGGGCCACTGCTAAGAAGAACAACATAACACCTTAGGCTAATTTTTTTTTTTAACTAAAGTTTATCTCACAGCTTAATTAAATTTCGTTAGACAGCCATGAAACCTGCAAGACTGTTAAAGTTAATCTGAATATAGAAAGTTTAGTAACCACACATACAAAAAAAAGAAACATTTTTGAGCCATTTTAGCTTCCATTTGAGATGATTTGTGGAAGTTTTTTTTTTTTGAAGATTTATGTTGCTGCAAAATTTGAAACCACTAGTTTTCCTGAAACCTGAAAACCTTCTGTCGGGATCAACATTAGAAATTGTTCTAATAAGAACGCTGTGTTCTCATTCTCAACACAGCAGTCAGAGTTTAATTTGGTGTTACAACTGCTGAGTCATTACAACAGTCATATTACTAAACGCACCATAACGAGCGGGACAGGACAGCAATTACTGCTGTTTGAATTTTGATCAAATTATAATCAACAAATTAGATGTGGTGCTCCAACACTGGGACAAACATAATTTAATACAAAACACTTAAACTCCACATTAAACCGATACTTTAAAGAAGAAGCCGTTTGGTTTTTTATTCAGTAAAGAGGTTAAAAAAAAAAAAACAGAATTTGATTTTAAAATAAGTCAGATGTCATACGATGTATGTCTTGTGCACTCTTACACAAGACAACTGCACAATTTTAAAGGTTAAAAAAATAATAACAGCAAAATTATGACAAATAAAATGACAAAAAAAAAACTAGTTTTGTTTATTATTTATATCTAAAGGCCAATAAATTTGTTTTAAAAAGTGTCATTTTTGTTTGTATTTTCTCGGAGGAAAGTCTTCTGGATGCTACACCAAAAGAAACTGGAGTGGAACCAGAAATGGCACGTGGTGTGCATTTTAGTGTTAATATTAGGGATGCACAATATTATCGGCATGGTATCGGTATCGGCCGATACTAGCGATAAAGTTAAATATCGGACATTGGCCATTCCATCCGAATAACTCACCGATATGAAACTTCTGTTTCAAGTTAATTTTGAATTTAAGAAACTGTCAAGTAGATCTATTAATGAACTACTACTTATGCGCTTTTCAATTGTCGCTTGTGAACAGGTTGAGTTTAGATTTATGAAAATTTACAAATTTGCACTGTTCGAGTGTTGTCGTTGTGTTAGAGAGAGTAAATGTCATGAATAAATTTGACTTTAAACATAACCCAAGTTGAAGTGTTACATCATTTTCTTCCCTCTTTAGGCATCTGCATTTGGTAGCAGGTCAAACTGACAAAGACCATGCAGACTAATGTTGTATTTTAATTCCACAGTAGAGAAAGCTATGTGGTCTCTGTAAGTAGGTCTAGGGGAAAAATATTGGTATTGGTATCGGTTATTGAACCAAAGAAGTTTTAACGTATCGGATATCGGCCAATAATCCAATATTGTGCATCCCTAGTTAATACCGTTTAAAAAGTTATTATTGTGTTATGAATATGGTCTCAGTAGAAAACTATACAGATAAAACACTAACATTTACAGAGCCTGCACTACTTTCTTCTTTAAGTCATTACATCCTGCCAAGCCTCATTCCTCACAAAAAGGAAACATTTCAAATAATTCTTGCAGAATATTATAAATCTTTGCCTACGCTGAAGATTTGTAGTATGTCACTGTGCCACAGACGGTTCCCTTACGCTAGCAGAATGACACTTTGTAAGTCAAAGTCCAGTAGTTTTTGTTTTATGCATCTTGATTTTTTTTGGAATCGGTCAAGACTAGTTAAGTTTTCAAAAATTGCAGCAGTTTGTGTACATATTTTTAGATTAAATTAGAATATATATAAGATAAATTGTTCTGAGCAACCAGCAGTTTGCACAGGAAAAAAGCACAAGCAACCTGAATACTGAGAAGAGCTTTTAAAAAAACTTAAGCAACTTAAAGGGTTTCTACAATTATGTGTACAAATAGAATGTGGACTATTTTTACACTTGCAGAGTGGATGATTGTGGTGCATCAGCACCACTTAGGGGCAGCTCTCACTGTAGCCAATCGTATTGATTGGAGTGGAAGTGTAATGTTGTAGCAGCACGTCCAAAGTTCATCCTTTGGTTTTCTCCTGAAAAATATTTACAACTTCAGCTACTATGAATACCTACTTTTTTTTTTTATTATTTAACAGTTTGTACAACCACAGACATTTAGATTATTTTAAGGCCATTACTGACTTGCTTGGTAATAAAACTAAGGCTTCAACAGAGTGAGAAAACTGTTCCCGCCTTTGTTTGTTTTGTTAATTAACGTTGGACTTTGTGATTCAGACATTTAAAATGTGGCCTTTTTTCTCTGAACTTTTCTGTTTTGTTAATTGGAACGAAGGAATTTGTCCATCAGTTCAATGGAAATTGAATCTTCCACGTGAAACGAACATCTCATCGGATGTGGCGTAACACTCAATGGGTTCAAACTGAACGGTCCAAAAGGTTGAATTAAATTTTTCCTCATTTATGTGCACATCTTTACGAATTTCATTTCCCAAATGGAAGATAACCAATTCCTTTGTGTTCTTCTGTGTGCTACAGACACTGCTATATTCCAGTTAATATAAAACCCAAACATCTTTCTCTGCCTCGCTGGTGCTCTGTGACGTCCTGAAGAACGGGTTGGTAAATGATTGATGAGTTTCTTAAAATGCTACCCTGACCTTTGCATTCGGAAAGACATTTTACTGCCGGAGCTGAGAGGACTTTGGCTGACTTCAAAGATCCCCCAAGACTCACCGTTGGTATTAATGACAAAAACCCTTCCTGACTGTTTGTGATGTGGGGCAACTGAAAATCTCCAGGATAAAATATGAAACAAAATATTTTAAGGCCTAAATAGCCTTATATTAACCAGGGTTTTTAAAGGTTTTTGTATGTGCCGAGTGTGAACAAAAGACTGAATTTTATACAGTGGCCCAGGTGTTGAGGGTAAATTGGTTTAAGGGAACAACTCCACATCTTTTTTTTCTGCACTAAACATAAAAGCAACGAGCCGGGAGCAAATCCTGCTTCAGCCTTTTTTTTTTTGGTCGTCTGTTTTCTGGATTCATGAATAACATCTATAGCATAAGGGTGTCTACTGTGAAATTGATGGATTACCTTGACCCCCATATGCTCTCCAAAATGCTAATTTGGTGACGCAGGTTCAGTAGATACCCTTCCATTTCACTTCACGCAAATCCGGTTCTACATTATTCATAGAGCTTAAAAATAATTCAGTTAGACCTTTTTCGGGGGTAGAATTTCCATCAGTGTGTGATTATTAGTCTGCTCTGGTGCATGCTAAGCACGTCAACTGTTTTAGCATTACGTGAGCAGCATATTTATGAGGATGCATTCCAGCGGCATGATAAAAAGGAGCCTTATATACGTAGACTAAATGTACTGGCTGAAGATCTTTTAACTATGTATAAAATAAATGAGTATCATTTTGTCCTCACAAAATCACAGATTATGATGGCAAGACTTTACGATAAGATCGTATAAACACCATTTTTAGGTAAAACGTGATTTAGCATTTTCTCTTTAAGCCCAGCTAAAACATAATTTGGAAAGAAACCAATCTAAAAGGGAGTGTTGTTTTGCTGTAATCAGGTAAACAAATTTCAATTTATTTTAATCCATCAAAATGACTATTTTGTGTGAGGACTTTTAATGTTAATTTATGGAATATTTTCAAATTTGGAACTAAGTGGATTAAAAAAAAAAGTATAAAAAAAATAGAAGGATAAAACATTCAAAATATATGCAGGAATAATTGTGATGGGGTGAAGTTTTTTCTTTGCATTTTATGCTTAAAAATCTAATTTTTATGTTGGCTCACAATAACAGGTCTTGAACGGTATGTACCGTACATTTAAATTGTATCCAATAAAACGGAAGAAAAGATTTCAGAATTGTTGCTGCAACTGGGTGAAACAGTTTCAACCATTTTTTATTGATCTAAATATACGGACTGCTTGTGAAAAAAAACCCATCTCATTTGTTTAATAACGTATTTAACCCTAAATGATTTTTCACACCTACGATAAAGGTTTTTGACTTAATCAAGTTTTCCTTAATAAACTTAGGACTTTTCGCTTAAAATTAAGTACAATGAAAACCAAAATCAAACAAGTTCTTAATAATTCTGAGAAAACTTTCACAATTTTGTTACTGATTGAGGATAAAATTATATTCAACTTGATTTAAATCTGACCACAGTCATTTTAAATAGCGGGCTATTGATTTTTTTTTTTTTAAGCAACAGCTTGAAGCTTTGGGGGAAAAATAAATCACAATAAAACAATGTGCTGATATCTTTTAAATGTTTCTGTTCAGTACCCTGAGATGACTTCTGTTGTGACTTGGCACTATATAAATAAAAAGAATTGACAATTTGACTTAAAAAATATTGTTTTAACCAGTTTCCTAATTATTAACCATTAGCCCGTTAGCACAGCGTTTCCACGTTTTTCAAACTATTTATAGCAAAAGTGAGAATAAGCTACATATACTTTTTCTCTTTTAAAACTAAAAATATAATTCTACTGAAAACCCTTTCAAATCAAAACAATTTTATGGATTCCTTGTTTAGAGCTGCATTGTGGATCTAATACGCAAATGAAAGCAGGAGTGAGGAGAGTAGGGTAAAGTAATAGGAAGGAAAAAAGTACAAAACAAGGTAAGATATACATTTCTGCATGTAAAGATTTAGGTAGCAGTGGGTCTATGCCCCTGCTACTTTGGTTAGTGAGGAAAATGGAGAGAGACAAGGGTTCAAACTAGGGGGTTAGAGAGGACAGCTAAAATATACAGGGCAGGACATACCAACCTTTTGAGAGAGTGGTAACTTGACCTATAATCCCAAATACAATTTAGGGAGATAGAACTTTGTGAGCAAAAACTGGGCAAAAAAAAAAATAAAACGTTGAGTGGAGGACGGGAAAAAATTCCGAAGCACAAATTTCAGGTTTCAAAGTGTAATCCTCATCCTCGGGGCTGGGAACTCATCTTCTCAGATGAGCTGGACCTTCGTGAGGATAATGAAAACCAACTTGCATAGATCCGAGGTAGAATGTTTCATACGCCAGAAAAAAAAATGTCCGTATTCACATATCCATTAAAACGAGTAGTGGGAAAAGGCTGTTGTCCTTGAGTCCAGAATAATAATGAAATCCATGAGCACATCTTCACTGAGACTATCCTTCAACAGTGCTCTAAGCGTGAAAAATAAAGTCTCAAAGTCTTTTCAGTAGTCCAGAATATCCACGTTAACGAGATTGTCCACATCCATAAAGCAGTCAAAAGTACTTTTGTACAGTAGATCAGGAATAAAGATGACTTCTTGGAACAGTAATCCAGATTTACATTCACAGGAGTGTTGCTTTCATTCCATAACAGCTCTGAATCTAGTGGATGCTCATATCTGTTGATTATCCATCATGTCCTTCTGAAGGAAAAGCTTGCATGCTGTCCAAACTTTGGCTCGGTCAATAGAAACAGTTCAAGTCCAACTTGGTTCTTCGGTTCTGTAATTGTATCCATGGTTTAGTTATAGTTCCACAGTAAGGAGATGCGTTAATCCACAAACACACGTTATGTTATCCCCAGAAGGCTTGCCACTCACAATTTCCAGCACATCTTAGATTTGTACGATCCAAATGTAGTCCTTTGCTGATCCTCAGTAAAAAATAATCTCCACACAAAAAAGGCAGGGGACAAAAAAGGCCTTTTGCTCACTTGTTTTTTTGTCTCTACTGAAGTGGATCATCAGTAGAAGTCTCCCAATGCTCAATTTTCAATGCCCTGATTAGATATAATCCCAAGTCAAACAAATAAAATCAATAAATAAAAAGGGAGGGAAAAAGCAACCCATACCTTTAGCATGAAGGCATATGTCACACATCTGGCCATTATTAATCCAACAGTGAGGAATAAATATCCTGTGTAGGTTATCCACATGACTCCAACCAACGAGTGGTGAGAGCCTCCATGAGCAAGACAGGATAAAAGCAACCAAACTGATCCAATGGTTTTGCATACATGCGATGTGTGTTGGTGTCTTGGTTGGTTTGTTACATGAGGAAGGATGGGTGAGATTAATCCATCGAACAGGGCACGTAATTCCAGATTAGGGAAATCCCAGGCATGGCCGCTGGACCACTCTCTCTCCTTTTCTTTAACTCCCTTTTTTATTCTCTCTCCAGCAATCTCCAATAATCCTGGGAAATTTTACGATATCCAATCTTTGCCCCGTGTTTTCCACAATTGATATCTCCACCTCACATAGATGTTTAAAATCACAAACATAATCCCCATCAGACTTTTAAACTACTAACTACTCGGTTAACAAATGTCCCTATGTAAAAAAAAAAAAGCTTTCATTTAACAAATATATCAGTTTCCACCGGTATACTCTAAAAACCTTAGAGTGGAAACCCTCAGGTTTAAATTCTTGTACATAAGCTCTTGTTCTACACTTTAACCCCCAAATCAGCAAATGAAGGGATGATGGAAAGATGCTTAGAGCAAAGGTGTTTACCACAAACCACGGCGTGCCCTGCCTTCAGAGAATAGTTCTCCACTTACCCGTCTAGCCTGCGTTCATAGCGTCCATCTCTGCTGTGAAGCGACGTGGGGGCCCCATACACAGCCCCCCCAGTCGCCCTTGTGAACCCTGATACATCCCGGCCACGAGAGCCTAAGGACAGACTATCGTCCAGACCCCTGGCTGCACTAGGAATAGTTCCTGGTTCATTGTAATCAGTGCGCAGGTCTCTGTCCCCCATCTTGTTGATAGCATTATGAGCCTTTTGAGCACTTTTAATGTCCACAAAATCCACAAAGGCTGCGACTCCTCCTTCTGAACCTCGCTTGGGCAGGACCTTGACGCTCTCCACTCGTCCATATCTAAAGTATATATATAAAAAAAAAGAGGAAACACATGGTGATCACCAGGTTTACCAAAACAAATTTCTCGTTGTGCTTGTGGATCTAACATGTTCAGCTTTCGTTCCTTTCATCTCAGCTTATTCATATTAATGCACAGATGCTGACATCTCCCACAAACCTCAAAGTGTTGCTATCCAATGTCAATGTCAGGGCATGTGTGCACGTTTGTGCATGTGAAGGAGTGGGAGGTAAGATGGTTTGGTTACTCTGTGCTTTGTTCTTTCAAGGCAACAGTAACCCAGCAACTAGACCTGAACCTCGGAACATGGCACATTAATAAATGCACATTCACTCAAAAAATAAGATGTATAAAAAAATCATGATAGATCGACTAAACTGAATAGATTTGCAAACATGAATGTACCGTATTTTTCAAACTATAAGGTGCACTGGATTATAAGGCACAATATCAATGAATGCGTCTGTTTTCATACATGAGGCGCACCGGATTATAAGGTGCATTAAGCGAAACTAAAACCTTTTGACAGATTTTTGATCTCCACGTAACACATAAACTCGGTTAGAGGTCAGTAAGCACAACCAGAATACATAAGAATCAGAATAAGCTTTATTATCACTGTACCGAAATACAGTGAAATTATGTTTGTACAGTCGCCTGAAAGATGGGCGGTGTGCACGTTGCTGCTGCTGAAAAGCAAGGCCCCTTATTCTTTATCAGAATACTTTTAGATAGAAAAAAGTTAAAAACCATAAGGATAGAGGTATTACAAAAAAGATCTCTTCACATCTTGTCCTATCACGACACGATTTGAGATGTCAAAAAACTCTACCAGTAAGCACACTGAAAAACATGATTACATGTGCATTTGACGTCAAGGTGTTGAGATTTGTCCATGAGCACTTTCAAATAATAGGCCACAGTTCTGATGATGATGTTTCAGCCGGCAGTTCTGATAAGCCTGCACAGAAGTTCTCGGGGTGGGCGGTGGGGGTTGCGATAAACGTAGCTTTTGTCCCTAGCTACCCATGTCCCTGGAGCAATTTGATAGTCGGCTCGTATCCAAAGCCAAACGGGGGGAGTCGGGATTCAGATAAGCCACAATGTTGATTTTCTTCAGGCAGACTGTTTTTCCTTGTCAGACTCGAATCCTGCTGGAACTTTCCGGTCCAAAATGGCCAAATTTATGGGTATCCACTCCACTGATCCGTGTTATAAGCCTCCTTCAAGGTCGATCCCAACATGCTGACGAGTCCCAGAAGCTGCAGGTGGCCTGCAATTCTCACAAATCGCCTCCATCTTATGGTTTAGCTCGTACACCAGCTGATTTTGAGAACTCATAGCACGAACCAAACCTTCATACTGACTCGGAAGCTTTGCCATGGCCGAAACTGCTGCCGAAGTCTTCTTCAAAAGTCGATAAAACAGAGCCCTACCGATGCCAAAGAGCAGAACCCCTGCTATCATAAATCCAAATATATAAATGTCTTCAGCGTCCTCCTGAGACAGGACTGAGAGGCACATCAGCTGCCAAACTCCCCACAGATCTTTGACGTACCCCTCAGCGTGAGTCAGCTGGACAAGAGGGTTCTTGACTTTTGTTGAAAAGATTTTGTCGATTGCGTTGAAAATCCAGCTCACCAAAATACATAATCTTAATTTTTGTTCAGGAGACGTGTACCAGGACACACACAGAGAGCAAAGCAGGGGGAATGAGAACAGGGGAGGGAGAGCAGGAGCGTCCACCTTGAGCGAGAGCCTGAGTAGTAAGGCGCAGCAGATTATAAAGCTCACTGTTGATTTTTGAGAAAAGGAATTTAAGTGTGCCTTATAGTCTGAAAAATACAGTACCTAAATAAATCCAATTTAGTCAATTTAACCTGCGTCCTTCTTGTTGTTTTGGTGCATTATCAATATTATCAATATATCAAATTGAATTGAATCAACACATGCAAAGGAGAAGGGTACTCGCTTTCTCTGGAAAATGAGAAAATGTAATCAAAATATTTCCTCAAGTGATGGATTCATTAACAAGAAGAAAAATGTGGCATGTGTTCTGGCTGTTTGAGGAGGCTCACAGGGTGGGTGCCCATAAATTGAATTCAACATTCATTGGACGCCATTTTAGAAAAGGCTGTTCACACTGCTTACTCATTCTCCCCATCTTCAGTGACTTCTATCACACATTGGGGCTGTCATGCACCTGCACACCTCGACTACCTCTGGGTGAACGCGGGAGCTGAAGTGACTCGTCTGCACCATTTCTTTCCTCCTCCTCCTCTCAATGGCTGCCAGTCAACCATCCCCCCCCCCCTTTCCTAAAAAACATATCGTTACGCGCATCATGCCAAGGAAATGTCATTAAAACCGTATGTAGGTGGCATATTAGTGCGCGGACCGCGTGGCTCAGACATCCCTGCATTAACACCACTTAAAGACACTTAATTTGTAGGTTTGCGCACGCGACAGACTACTTTTACGTTTGTTTCATTAACGTTATTTTCGCGTTTTGCAGCTTTTGTTCCGACATGGCGGCAAGTTGTAACAAAAAAAAAAAAAATGCGACGTTCAGGTAGAATCGTTTTTTTGAGCTGTTTGATTTCCAGCCCGGAGGAGCGGGCTATTTCCTTGACAGCCGAGAGAAGAGGGGTGGCGAGAGCGCGCAGACGGACCGTGATAGCCATCACACGCACATATTTACATTTTTGTCAGTCCAGGGAAGACAACAAAGGGACGAAACTGTGTTGGGGGCTCAGTGTGCACCAGCAGCAGGCTGAAAACCACCGAACGGAGTTCAGCTCAGATTTACAGGAACAACAAAAATGGATGCGTAAAGACTTCAGCTTGGCTCACATCGCGCCGCAGGCTGTGAGAGTCGGCGAGCAGCTGCGGGAAGCTTCGTGTGGCGCACACGTCCATTTTTTTCTGCGCACAAAGTAAACACGAGCGGCGCAGGAAGAAGGCACCCAAACGCCACATCGGTGCGCATCTGCAGCTTCTGCAACAAAAGTCCGCGTGGCTGCTTTAAAAAGAAACAAAAATCCAGCTCTTTCCTCCCAAAATCAACTGTGTGCGCTGACATACATTAACTATAGTTCGTGCACTGGTCCGGGAGGAAGTCAAGTGAAACACCAGACACGGGCACGTCACTGCGCTGACGGGCTCGCAGCTCTCCAGGTGTACAGGCTGAAGTTTGTTGACACCGGCTGCATGTTAACGCAGAAGCCGATTCCCGACCAAAGGTGAGCTGGCTGGAAACAACTCGACATTAAAGGAAGAAATCAGCCAGTAAGTTAGTGACGGAGGCGAACTGGCAACACCATCCGCCGTTTTCACATAAAATGTTACTTGCATGGCACACTTGCCAAATTGGACTCCGCTGAAGAAAGGGGGGGGGGGGGAGAGAGAGACACCTCCTGCTTCATCCCAACCTCACTAAAAATGTGACACATAGAGAGATGCTGTCCGTGCACGTCGTTTCACCTCAAGCGCACGCACTCACCGCTTGAAATGCTCGATGATTTTCTCCTCTCGTATATTTTCGGGTAAATTTCCCACCCATAAATGTCTGGTTTCCCGGACCATGCTGCGTGCTCCTGCTGCCCGATCATACAGATGAGTTTGCGGTGTCAGCTTCCCCGCGTGCAGAAAAACAAAAGGTCCACGAGGAGGAGAGGGCGGAATGCTTGACGCGAATCATTTATTGACTGCTCATGGTGACCCAGTGTAAGCCATTAGGCTGGATCCCCGCACGCTGTTTGATTCTCTCTCTCTCTCTCTCTACTGTTAAAGCGCGAGCCTGCACCTCCTCATGAGCGCGCCTCCTCCTCCTCTCCCTCCCCACACGCGCCACCACCCCCCCGGTCCCTGTGACTAGGTGCGTCCCCCTCTAACACCACGCGACCTTTGGGTGTCGAAAGAAAGCATGCAGCTTCCTAAAAGGATGCGGCAGCTCGACTGTAATGAGAGGCGCACCGCGCATGCGTGGATTGTGTGTGAACTTCGTGTTTGTTCTCCCCCCTCCAAGTGCGCATGCGCGAGAAAACCCCTGGCTGAACGCTGCTGCTTTGACATCCGAGAAGCTGACAGGAAGATCCCATCATCACTACAGCACGGTGAAGCTGTTTGCACACAAAAAGTCCAAATATTTAGATTTATTTTATTAATGCACTTTTTTTTTACTTTTTACTAATACACTAAAAGTAACCACTCAAGTTTTGGCTGAGGAATAGGCAACAAAGCCAATGGAGAGTCCAAACTGATTAGAAAGACATCCATTGCAAAGTCATAAATCAAACATAAAAAAGTTGATCCTGAACTATATCATGTTTCTTCAGTTTAACACAGTTTACTCCGGTAGTTTTCCGAGCGCAATTACAAAACGCGGTTTTACCTACAGGCATAATCTGTTTTTAATCAGTTTGTCTGTTTCCATTGGTAATTTACAATCATTTAATTTAAGGACACATTAACTTTTGCGGCAAACTTATGATGTTGAGGGCCGCACTGGGTTAAACTCGGGAATCTCTGTCCGACGCGTGTTTCCACTGACGTCACTCCAGGTCACTTCTTTGTCATGATCGGTTTATTCCGTTTCAAATTTCCATGCTTTAAACATTACAGACTGAGACGCATACTGACCAGGTCCAAACTATTGATAAATGCCTAATGGCATAACTCTACGGCGTCTTATAACATGGTCAACAGAAAATAAGACGACCCCGGGCGCACCCAACTTCCTCATCCATACAAAGCCAGAACGCCAGTCAGCACATCATTTATATCTGGTGACAGTCAACACACACACTGACACACCCACCACCCAAGTGTCAAAGCTGCGTGCTCACCTGTCAAGCCATCAGTTACTTGTTTCACTAATGTGGCTCTTACATTAACTATTTATGAGGAAAATGTTGTGTAGTCTTATTTCTTACTCCATGACTTTTTCGTGCAGTCTTCGTGATTTTGCAACAAGCGCCTTTAACTGGCGGTTCCTATAAAAGTTTGCAAAACCGCATCATTAAAGAGCAGAAATCCAGCAAATGTTTGTTAAAAAGTCTTGTGTAAAAAGTTCCAGTAAAAATAATATGCTGAAACAATTAAATTAAACAACATAAACAACGAGCTGAAATAATTCTCACAGCTAATTTTACTAGATGAAGTATTTGACAGTATGCTTCTTTAGAATATCTTCTTCTTCTTCTTCTATTGTTTATCTGCAGTCGGGTCACGGAGGCAACAGGTCCAGGAGAGAAACCAAGACATCCTTCTCCCCAGTGACACTTTCCAGCTTGTTCTGGGGGACCCGAGGAGTTCCCAGGCCAGAGACTATACACCATCTCTCCAGCGTTTTCAGGGTCTTCAGAGCCTTCTACCAGTGGGACGTGTCTGGAAAATGTCTAAGGCGTCCAGGAGGCATCCTAATTTTTTTTATTTTGTTATTTTACTTTGCACAAAAAAGAAACAACACATATGAAGGAAAAGATAAAAATTAAATGTGCAGGAGAGGTCATAAAAAACCAAAATGGGTTTACAAGCGCCCCACCCCCCTTCTAAAAAATAAAGAAAAATCATAAAAGCTTTGTACATAATCAAATCAGAAACTACTACTAATAATAATAATAGTCAGCTACTCAAACCACCTCAACTGACCCCTTTCGATGTGGAGGAGTATACTCCGAAACCCCTCAGGATGATGGAGCTCCTCACCCTATCTCTAAGGTGAGGTTTCAACCATTTGTATCAGGATCTCATTCTTTTGGTCATGATCCAAACCTCATGACCATAGATAAGGGTTGGAACATAAACAGACCAGTAAATCAAGAGCTTTTCTTTCCACTCAGCTCTTTCTTAACTATGACAGAACAAAGCAACATCCGTATTACAGAGGATGAGGCTTCAATTCATCGATCCATCTCCCGTTCCATCCTAGCATCACTTGTGAACGACCAGATACTTGTTCATTCAACCTTTATTTATACAGGTTAATCCCATTGACCCTCAAGGACTCATTTACAAGAGAGACCTGAAATACTTGTACTCCTCCACCTGAGGCAACGTGTCCTCAGGATTCTGAAATCTTTGGGACTTGGAACACCAATAATGAAGAGTGTTGAGATGGTTTCCAGAAAAGCAAATGTAGGCCTAACTGGATTTTCACCAATTTGACAAAAAGGTCACAAAAGGTGACAAATGTTAGGCTAATTTGAACCCCTAAATTGTACAAAAGTGAGAGAGTGAATGTTTTTTTTGTCTCGTTTGTCTCTATGTGTCCCTGTGATGGACTTGTGACCTGTCCAGTGTCCCCCGCCTCTTGCACAGTGACTGCTGGATATGGGCACTGCCGCCCCAGTGACCCCTGTGTTCGAAAAGGAAGAAGCAGGTAAAGATGATGGATGGATAATGGATGTGACAAAAGGTAAAAGGTTGTCATTCCATTCATCCATCATCTTCTGCTTGATCCAAAGTCAGGTCACGGGGGCAGCAGCTTGAGCAGGGAGGCCCAGACATCTCTTTCCACAGCCTCCTCTTCCAGCTCTTCTGGGAGGAAGGTATTCCCTGGACAACTGAGAGACATAGTCTCTCAAGCGTGTCCTGGGTCTTCCCCGGGGTCTCCTCCCAGTCGAACATGCCCGAAGCATCTCAAAAGGGAGACGCCAAGGGAGCATCCTTACCAGATGCCCGAACCACCTCAACTGGCTCCTTTCGATGTGGAGGAGCAGCGGTTCTACTCTGAGTCTCTCCCAGATAACTGAACTTCTCTCTAAGGGAGAGTCCAGCTACCCTGCAGAGGAAACTCATTTCAACCGACTGTATCTGCGATCTCATTCTTTCGGTCACTATCCAGAGTTCTTGACCAGGTGAGGGTAGGAACGTAGACTGACCAGAAAACAGAGAGCTTTGCCTTGCAGCTCAGCTCTCTCTTCACCACAATGGACCAGCACAGAGTCCGCAACACCGCAGAGGAGTGGTGGCGCAGAGGTTAGAGAAGGTGAGCTTGTGATCAGATCACCGGTTCAAGCCCCGGTACCGACAACATCAAAAATGTGGGTGGGGTAGGTGAAGCACTCACACCTGCCCCCACCCCCATTCACCCCACTCTGGCCCCATGAGTAAGGCCCTTAACCCCCATCTGCTCCTTAAACAGGTCTCTCTTGAAAATGAGTTCTCGTGGCTCAATGAGACTACCTGTATAAAGGTAAATGAAAAAAAGACGCTAAAACAATCCATCTGTCAATCTCACGCTCCTTTCTTCCTTGACTCCTGAACAAAACCCCGAGATACTTGAACTCCTCCACTTGAGGCACAACCTCACCCTCGACCTGAAGAGAGCAATCCACCCTTTTCCGACTGAGGACCATGGAGGTGCTGATTCTCATCCCAGCCGTTTAACACTCGGCTGCGAACCGGGTTGTCGTTGTCATGTAAAAGGTTGTCATTAATTAAAAGCTTTACTGTTGGATGGGTTTTTGTGGCATTTATGTTCCCATTTTTTCATTAGCTGTCGAAAGCAGGCAGTAGAAGCGCCATTTTTTGCACAGTTTTTGTGCAAAAACATCTATATTTCTAATAGCTTGATAGGAAGCAAGTCTTTGAAACTCTGCTTGACTCTTATTCTCACACTTTAAGGTTTCGCCTTCAACTTATCACTGGTCTTTTCAAAGAGAGGACTTTCCAGGTGTCCTCCAGATGATGGGAACTCCTACAAAAAGTCATGTTGCAGAATCGGAGGCATGACAACAGCAGATGCTGTCTGGTGCAGCCGTTTTCTCCGTTGGCCTATTTTGCAACCTGTTTGGTGCTCATTGCACCTGACAGGTTGGGTAGAAATGAGAAGTTGACGGGGAAGCTAATCAAATCCAGCAGCGAACAGAAACACTGGGGCATGTGAAGAGAGAACAGTCCCATCTTGATCAGTCTGTGTGTGACACACTTTAAGTAATGACGCTTACAGAGAAGTGACGTTACATCCAGTATCTATTTTCTGAGCTTGTCATTCTTATAAATAGATAAACTGACGGCTTAATTTTTTTTTTTTTTTGAATGTGTTGTCTGGGTTGAGAAGGTCGTATGAAAGCATAAGCTGAATATTGTCTAGGCTCATGCGAGAGTGGCTAATTAAATTCAGGTTTATATTGTGTGTGAAGCACATGAATATGTTTATGCTCATCATGTGACAGCAGCATTACAGAGAGGTATTTTCAAAATCTAAGCCTTTTTTGTTAATATTTTTGTTCTTCTGCCTTCACATGAACAATGTTAAAAAAAATGTTAGAGGTGTTTAATTGGCTATCTTTTTAAATATAATTTGTTTGCGTTTAATCTTTAACACAGCTGACGGTTTACCACATCTTCTAAACTGGCAAACTTGGCTCACAAGATAGATTTAAGAATTGTGAAAACATCTGGTTAATGATGGAAACCCAACTATTGAAACACAAGAGGGTTGTCACAATTGTAATTATTTTTTTCTCTAAATATCAATTAAGGTTTTGTGGCTGATTAAATCTTTGCTACATGTCAGTGATGTTACACTTACTGTATCATTATATAACTTGAACATTTCTCAAAGGAAATAATATTGTAAGTTCTTTTCACAGAAGGTCAGTAGTTTTATTTTAACAAAGTCTTGAATATTCAGGTCTCTCTTGTAAATGAGTCCCCGGGGCTCAATGGAATTAACCTGTATAAATAAAGGTTGAATGAATGAAACATAGAAGTGAATAGTAAAGAAAACATCAAAATCCCATGTGTTTTTCTTTTGATTAGGTTTTGCTCCTTTATCTATATGTTTCGTACACTGTTTATTATGCAAGACATGACGTCTTACAAGACAAACAAAGCTCAAACAAAGGGGGGCTGTTAAGATGAGAACTTTGACCAGGTCTATGCTTTATTTTAGGCTAATAAGTAACAGAAAACATTCAGGTGCAAGTCCAAAGGTCCAACTTAACTGTTGTTATAGAAAACTGATGAAAAGTGTAATAAAAACCTTTAATGCACATTTCTTTAAATACTATGCTTGCAAATCGGGGAGTGGTGGCGCAGAGGTTAGAGAGGTGGGCTTGTTATCCGAAGATCGCCGGTTCACGCCCCGGCCCCGACAACATCAAAATTGTGGGTGGGGTAGGTGAAACACCCACACTTTCCCCCACCCTCATTCGCCCCACTCTGGGCCCATGAGCAAGGCCCTTAACCCCCACCATGTGCTCCCTAAACAGGTCTCTCTTGAAAATGAGTTCTCGTGGCTCAATGAGACTAACCTGGATAAATAAAGGCTAAATGAAAAAAAAAAAAAAAAAAAACTATGCTTGCAAATGAAATTGTATTTTCTCAGTATTTCTAACTCAAACGAGTAGTCAACTCATTCTTCATTGACACTTTGTTGCATTGTGCTCAGAGCTCATTCTCAAGCTAAATGTCACAGTTTTTAATAAGAATTGAAGAAATATCTCAAAAAAGCTCAGTTTCTATGGCACAACATTACTCTGCTTTTGTTACTATATTAAGAAAATACAAGACGGAACTGCGCATGCGTTGAGGCGCACGTACTGTGCGCACTGCGCATGCGCCCTTTTTGACTCATAGACGAGGAGAGAACCGTCTGGAAGCTCAGTCACTTCAGCAGCTGCATCGTCGCCTGAAATCGTCCTGATGTGGAATTTTATTCTATTAAAAAAATCTATTAAACCTACGGAAGTACAATTTCCTATTTTAGTGGATCGACTAGACACCAAAACTAAATTTCATCTGTGATTTTCAGACCTGGGATTACCATGGAAACTGGACCGTCATGCTTATGTGCTTCCCCTCCTGTTATTTTTGTGAAGGAATGACGGGAATTGTGTATCAAAAAAAGGCTCTTGTGGAATATATGGCCGTCAAATGTGGATGTAATTCGATGTGGGGTGTCAGAAAGCACGATTTATCACAAGAGGCCACTAAAAAACTAAAGGACGTTTTAAGGTCCGTGAGGTGTATAAATCAAGTTCGACGTCAACAACCCAAGCACTATAAATATGGATTTCTTGCTTTGATTCGCTGTTTCAGGCTCACCAAATGTCCAGCGGAGCCATTCGCTGTAACGTACTTCCTTTGTCTAACGCCATTTTGTGCAACTGACGGCAGTAACGACGGTCGACCGCCATTTTGGTTTTTCCATCCAACCTGATGACGCGTTACAAAAACGATGCAGGACAGCATGACGCGTTTAAGAAAAATAGGAGAAAACAATTAAAGCTTCTGCTAATGTTTAGCATAAATGTTATTTGTTGCATATTTGTCTTACTGGTTGTGTTTAGTTTGTAAACTGGCTAATTTTAATGTTTATTATGGGAAAAACAGTGTAGAATGGTTTTTATTCTTGGGTTTTCAGTTTTATATTAAATGCAGTTTATGTAAGGTTTTATTTTTACCCTTGTTTCACTTGAATAGCTTTTAAGACTGAAGTGTTTTTAAATGGTTTAAAGTACAACATGGCATAGAATTTTGGGTTTTTATAATAAAACGTTTTTTTTATTATTAGTGTTTCTTTTTTATTATTCATATTATTACCATTGACACAAGTAAACATACATAAAATACATCAAATCTCATATTTACCTACATTTTCTTGTATAAAGCCACACAAAGAAAGCCATGGTCAGAGTCTTATAGTTTATATGACAACGTTTTTCTAAAAGTTGCTCAAAATGAACCTCAGAGCTGCAAAGGTTTTGTGTCAATGGACTAACAATAAACAGGAGGTAATTTGGAAACAAGCACTTAAACATTCCCAAAGTAACTGCAAACATTGCTTCTTTTCCAGAACAATGGCTGTTCAAAATGTTTCCAGAAAATGATTAAAAAAAAAAGCTTGCTGATACAAAAATAATACTCCAGTGTTTTGATTTTCAGTGAATAGTGCTATCTTTGATGCTCCTTCTGGTGTGTCTTGGGTTTCTGTCGACGATTTCTCCTTGCGTAGTTTGTAAAATCCTCTTCATCCTGTATGCAAACAACACAATAGATGACGTGTGTGACATATGCTGACCAACAGCTGTTTTGCCTGACTGATGGACAATAAGTGCATTACTTATGTATAATATGACAGAATACACACCTTTATGACCACTGGGAGGTAAAATGAGTAACATTGCTCATCCTAAATGAAACGTTCTGCTGAGAAAATGTTCATTCTGACAATTACTAATCTGGGAAACAAGCAAACTGTGCAAACACCTCAGCTCAAAATTCACAAAACCCATGAAATCTAGGTGGAAGTTTTATCTAAATCCTAAGATGTTCTTTGTTTGCATCTTCACTGCAGAATGTGTTTTGAAAATGGGCCCTGATCAATATCAGGTCATATTGTTATGGCTGGTTGGGTTATTGTCGCTGTGCTCGCATGGTAAAAATAAAAACGAGGACGTAACATATTAATACTAAATGCTTTTTGATGTTTTTTGCCATGGCTAATTTAAATGTATCATCAGACTTTCATTTTTACCATAAAAATCAATCCAGTCTCTACATCAATAAACTGCAGCTTTCTCATGTCCTGTTCCTCAAACGCTCCACAAGATGAATCAGGAAGATAAATAGGCTCACATTTCTGAGTTAAAGATTTCTTTGACCTAAATCCGTCTCTGGATCCTACAACTGCTCCTCCTGGAATACAAGTTTTAGAAGTTTATTCTCATCCTGGGGCCCAGTTTGATATTCTGCCCCAGTTTACTGGTCTCACTGGAGACGTGGTGCTTTCGGCCCTCTCGTGTGTGATTCTGACTGACCTGTGAGGACGCTGCATCCAGCAGGTCATTGGCTGGGATTAGACAGCCGGCCTCACCCAGGAAACACATTAGGATGTGGAGCACGTCAGCCCAGCGTCCCACAGTCAGCATCAGGACCATCAAACCCCCGAGACGCACCATGACTGCGTTGAAGACAGCTTGGCTGCTTGGCAGACAGTGCTGCTCCTCTGCAGGACCAAAACACATCCAGGGTGTTAAACAGATGGAGACAGCAGCTAAACCTGGCATATTCACATGCTCCTCACCCTGCATGTACACCACCAAGAGAGTGTAGCAGATAGTCAGTGGGGTCCAAAACCTCAGGGCCTCCGTTGCAGAGAGGAACTGTTGGTTGATGATTGACACAGCAGCCAGCACGGCCACAAAGAAAGTGATGGTCATGGTCCTGCAGAGCATGGGCAGCAGGTACCACCCTGATGTGAGGAGGCTGATGCAGATGCCGCAGTAGTTCTGTGAGCTGTGCAGCTTGTACAGAGCAGTGACGTGACGCAGGAGGGATGCTGCCTGTCGTGCCAGGAACCAGCTGAGTGCTGCTGCCAGGAGCAGACACAGCCAGCGCTGGGACGCTCCCTCATGGAGGAAGTTCAAACTACAGCTGAGCGCACAGCCCAGAGAGAACTGGCTCTGGACTAACAGCTGCTGCAGAAATTTCCTGGAGTCCTGAGAAATATGAAAAAAGACCATATGATAGATCAGTCAACCAGATGATGGACTTCTATGTTTAATACTTGACAAGCATCAGTGTGAATAAAATCTACAAAATTAACTTTATTGGGTCATTAGAAACCACTTTAGGACCAGTTACATTTTGTGGCTGAACAGCAGGGTTGCCCTGTAAATGCTGATGAAACAAAAATTGAGTAATTTAAGATTAAAGATAATCACAAATAACAATTAAATGTGACTTGGTCATCGCAGCTATAACTCACGTTAAAATATGACTTGCAATACATTAACCTTTAAATAAAATAAATATTTCAAGTGCATTTTATTATTATTCACATCACATGTGGTATGAGAGGAAACAAAAGTAGGGTCCCACTTTCATCCAACAATAGCAAAAATATAAATTGTATAAAGAAACAATAATAAAGATCTAAGATGAACTAAGAAATATGCTGAGTACTAACAGTGCCAAACAATACGCCGAACAACACGAATAAGAGTCTGTGTGAGTATGACTATGAATGAACACAGCAGCATAAAATAAATTACCAGCATGAGATCAGCAGCATGGATAATCAGCAGCACATATCACCAATCAAAGTGGCATTACAGTGATTTTTGTTTTTCACTGTGATAATATTATATATATTATTAATAATATTAATAGTATTGTATCATTATTATTGATATTTAAAACAGTTATTAAAAATGAGACGTTTTGGATCATTTTTGGAATTTACATTTTATAGAGAGTTTAACAACTCATTGGCTGTGACATCAGGCTGTTGTTGCACATTCGGTCCATTTTTGACTTGAGGAGGAACATCATGATCCAGCAGATACAGGAAACAACAGGCAGTAAGAAGGGTGATGGGAAACTAAAAATACAGGGAACTTTTGTTTCTTGCGTCTCCTCTTGGAAATGAATAGAGTTGGAGAAAATCTCTCTCACTAACAATGTTTACCTAAAAGAACCACACTCGACGCAGAAGATTTATAACCGATATTTTGCAAGGTCAGATTTTCAGGAAAGGTTACAAATATCACATGCATAGATGTACCAGCCACAGAAGATCAGCTACAAGCTGCATATTCTGCTCTCTTTTATTCTCCTCTCAGCTCAGCTGAGTTCACAGAGTTCAGGAGGTGTCCTTGAAGACAGCTGCAACCTCCTTACACAGCCATAGTAATAAAAACCCAATAAAACATTCATAACCTTTGACTGAAAAAATTCTCTGACAATAATGTAGGCAAATATACATAAAACAAAAACACAGCAAAATTGAGCTAATTGATGTATGGAAGGACTTTGAGCTGCTAGAGTCAACATGTGTTAAACAAGGAGGAATGGATAATCATGATTATAATTATAACTAAAGCAGAGGGCAATTGTGCATTTTTTTTATTATTTACCTTTTTTATGCAAATAATGTGCTCATATATCCAATCACAGGAGATTAAAAAAATGGGAATAGCTTGAATCCACAGGACTAACAGTGGTAGAAAAACCGAGGATAAAACCAACAAAAAAACAACTTTGTCCATGTTTGATTTTGGCATTGTAGCTTTTTGCAGAAAATTATTACAACCAATGCATGGTATATCAGTCAGAGTCAGAGTTTCTTTATTGTCATTCACACCACACGTGGTGTGAACGAAATTATGTACGCAGGGTTCCAGTTACATCCAACAATAAAATGTAAAAGAAAAACAGTAATAAGATCGAAGATACGAACTAAGAAAAACATCAACTAAAACTACGCTAAGCACTAATAGCATAAAAACAATGCATCGAACAGCAGCACAAACATGAGTCTGAGTGAGCAGATGAGCATGCACGAACACAGCAACGTGAAATAGATCAGCAGCAACGTGAAATAGATCAGCAGTAACATGATGTGATTTTCCACAGTGATTATTCTGGTTAGAGATTCATGAGTCTAACAGCCTCAGGGTAGAAGCTGTTCCTCAGTCTAGTGGTTCTACATTTAATGCTTCTAAACCTCCTTCCTGAGGGAAGCGGGGAAAAAAGTGTACGTGCTGGGTGAGTGGGGTCCTTCATGATGCAGGTGGCCCTACATCTGGAGGTGTAGATGTCTGTGATGGTGGGGAGGCTGACTCCAACAGACATCTGTGCAGCCTTCACTGCTCTCTGCAAAGCTTTTCAAAGCTATATGATGCAGTAATGTAGAAAATATGACCAATACAACATTATATAACAACTGCCTTCAGGAAAAGCCATCCGACTAATAAACCATTAAAGACTCAAAGACTATTAAAGCAAACTTACAGATAATAAATGTGAGCTTTGCCCAAGTATCATTATATAAATATATATATCAGAGTCAGAGTCAGAGATTCTTTATTGTCATTCGCACCTCATGTGGTACATGTGGTGGAGCGAAATTATGTACACAGGGTCCCAGTTACATCCAACAATAAAATGTATAAGAAAAACAGTAATAACATCTAAGATATGAACTAAGAAAAACATCAACTAAATATACACTAAGCACTCGTAACATAAAACATTGAACATCAGCACAAACATGAACATGAGTCTGTGAGCAGATGTGCACGCATGAACAC